TAAATGATCAGCAGTTCACAGTTATCTGAGGGTCATTCCACCAACCTCCCATTGAGAGGGGGGCGTAAGGGGGGTACAAATACTCAAAACCTTGCATAAATACATTATAAACACCACACAGAATAACATTAGAAAACCTAAACTTCTTTGAAATAACCCGAAAATTTCTAAATGTTGCTAACCGCTTGGTATTAAAAAACTGCAATACCGCAACTTAAAATAACAATTTGTGCAAAACCGCACCAAAAATCGAGCAAAACCGCGTCACTGCAAACCCTTATACCCCCCTCCATATGAATGTTTCTGAGGGATATGGAAAAATTCCCTTTGAGTGTAGGGCAGAAAGAAAAAGTGGGCTATTGTAGGAGCTGGGTAGTGGACTGGGTCAGTACTTTTGATCCTTTTATTCAACTTATTTTATTTGTGGGTGTGGCAGGTGGCTATTAAGTGGAAGATGTGAGCCATTTATGCATGGCCATCTGCTAAGGTTAATTCTGGCTGGTTTTTAGTGACAGCTAAAATTATAAATAAATAAATATTGTGGACAACTCAGAGACAACTCTAGATGATTTCCTCAAACAATTATGGTAAGATCAATCATTGGTAAACAATTCCATTATCTGCTGTAGCATAGAGCATAGTTGTGTAGAATCCCATGCCCTTTATCCCTTTTGTAAGTTCATTTATGTTGTTTTTTTTGTTTAGGGTGGGGTGGGGAGATTCATATAAAACTTAAAGGGATGATCATTAAAGATTTTTAGTAACTGAACCCTTTGAAAACTAAATCTTGTTTTAGAGAATGGCTTAAGTTTATTTTCCACTGTCACATAATTTTTATGTGCCTATGTGCATAAATAAAATAGAGGCAATGTGTGGAAGGTCAGCCATAAGTGTAATAGTTGAGCCTCACTCAGCCTACAAGCGTAAATGCTATGTGCTTACGGAAATAAAAATTAAATAACAATGGAAATCCATAACTGATCCATAACAGAACATTACCCAGGGGTGAATCCAAAAAATTCAGGAAGGGGTGGCCAGGACACTACTTGTCCACTTGCCAGCCATATAGATACTTTTTATTTTTCTAAGAATTCTATAAAAATAATACAAAATTTAAAAGAAAAAAGGGGTGGTCGCGGCCCCCTTTACCCACCCCTAAATCCGCCCTTGTTACCTGTGACAGTATAACTCATAATTAGCCAAGGTTTATTTTCATGGTGAATTAAACATTTGGCTTAAAGCTAGTTATATTCTCTTTAGAACATTGACCCTACCTACCATTCATGTAAGTGCTGTGGTGTGTGGAGACCGGGCAATTGAAGCAACAACAATGCTCAAGTCAACAACTCTATTTACTAAGAGAACTGTACAACTCCATGTTGTCGCAGAAGATCAACTCCATGATGACTTAAAGAACATTTTTAATCAGTGGCATACGGTTCAATCTGGAAAAGTCATGTTCAAAATTTACTCTTTACACTTTCCTGGGGAAAAGTTTGATGAGTGGAAACGACTTTTCAAGCCATGTGCATCACAGAGGCTGTTTCTTGTGGTAAGTACAAAACTATTTATTCCGTAATGTATGTGTTTACTCTGTTTCATTGCGTACTTGTCAGTTTAGATAACGACTTGTGGCTTTTAGTGCAAATGAAAACGTAGAGCTGATTTGCAGGTTTTATCATACTGTGATAAGCTGTTTAAAGGCAATTTTATGTTAAATTTTTTATGTACAGTGAGAGAACCTTGATATAACAAAGGGCCAAGGGACTGGCAAATTGTGTTCGCTTTAATGAGGATTCATTAATGAAAGTTCTTTTCCATATTTTACTATTACCGGGGTAAAGAAAATCATTCGCTTTACCAAAGACTTTGTTAGATAGAGGTCATTATATCACGGTATAACTGTAAGAAAAACTTAAGAGGGTTGTTTAGAGCCACTTCAAATTTTGGGGATCCTGTGGTGGCATCTGAATACCTTCTTTATCAATTTTCTACAAAATCTCTCTTTGGATAAAGGAGACCCTGCCAGGGGTGGGGAGGGGGGGGGTCCCATGTTGCCCGTCTGAATTTTAAAATGTCTCGCGTCGCTGTTTATAAATGCTTGTCACTTATTGTCGGCTTTGCCGTCACTGTCGCAATTTGGCTGAGGGAAGTTGTTTCTTCTCGCTGTCGCTACCTTTTGGGCCATATCACTTGTCGGAATTTACCCTGGCAGGGCCTCACAAAGTTATTTTGAACAGAATATACTGTTGCCATGGTAACTTTGCACGTCAGGAAAATGATCATAACTTGTTTATCAGTGATTGGGCACTTGGTACCAGTGACGATTGTTTTAGTATCTGCTGATAAAGAGTAGTTAGCTACTAGGAGACATCAGTGTTTACAAACATTGTTTTTGTTATTCAAATCTGCAACAAGTAAAACAATAGAATCTTTTGTTTAAAGAACCAATGCACTTTTGGTTGGCACATTACACAAATGATTACAATGTCATTACAATGTCATTCACCTGAAAGTACAGAGCATTAATTATTAGAGTAATTGTAAAGCTAAGTGGCAAAATTAATATGCTACCGTGGATGTCCATTATCACCTTTCTTGGGTTTTGCCCTTCTTTTGATTATTATATTTGATGCACTAGCTAAATGCTGTTTATGGAACTTGGTAAAAGATTGTCAATTGTATTCTTTTTCATGGCCAGCTATATGCCCCAAAATAACCTTGCTACATTAATCTTCTAGTTTCAACAATGAAATGCGGGTTGTTGCCATTTTGAAAAAGTGGCTGTTACCTGAAGGTTTCAATAAACATAAACACCTGGACTGGCAGGCAGGATGCATTACTACATGGCCTACTCCAAAGGGGCCAAATCATATATAGGTGGAGGTTTGATTGTAATGGAACTGTTGTCAGCTTTCTTAAGATAGCATATCGGAAATTTATTTTCTAGGATGTGCTGGATTCCATTGATAGTGTGCTGTACATGGATACGGACACACTGTTGCTAAGACCTGTGGACGACATTTGGGATCACTTCAAGAACTTTGACAGCTGGCAGCTGGCATCAATGACGCCAGAGGGAGAAGAAACATCGTTGACCTGGTATCCTAGATTTGCGCGTCATCCTTTTGCTGGCAAAAACGGAATGAATTCTGGTGTTATGCTTCTTAATTTAACCAGAATGCGAGCATTTGGGTGGAAGGAAAAGATAATTGAAGCTTACAACAAGTACAAACTTAGCATAACCTGGGGAGATCAGGACTTAATAAATATTGTTTTTCATGATCATCCAGGTAATGGCCTTGTTTCCTTTTTTGAAGATTATTTATTTCACACTAGCTCCTTTGTGTAAGAATATCCCCTTGATAATCTGGTAAAATTTTTAAAGTGCTGCAAAATTTCAAAATTATGCAGTTTATTTTCACCTTTATTACAGAAAAACTGTTCCAAGAAATTATGTGTGCAAAACACATCTGCTTTACAATCAGTGACAACAAATCCCTTAACTTTCTACCACCAAGGGCAAAGTAAAGCCCCACTCTCCCCCAAACAATGTTGTTCTTTGTTGATTAAGGTGAAATGTAGTAATATTGGAAAAATTATTTTAGAAATAATTTATAATTGACCTTTCCCACATCCCTGTAAACAAAGGCACCCACACAAGGTTTGGGTGGACAAATACAGTGATTTATATGAAATTGTCCACCTGAGCCTGATCATCCTCATTTCTTTATGTTTGCTCACTGGAGTGTAATGCAGGAAAGGTCTATTTAATGTGATGTGCATTATCAAACAAGGTCGTAAGCTTGAGTTAGGCTCCACTTTAGAAATCTGCACATATTCTACAACATTGAAAGAGGGGGGAAGAGAGGGGATACTGCAGCAAGACATTGAACAGGGTAGTGCAAAGAAAGGGATGAATTAATAGTTAAGTGCTGGTATGGATATTTTCTGACAGAAAAGCCATTTATACAATGAAAAATGAGATACCTAGCTAGATGTGTCTTAATCAAGGCAAACTTCTTTTATAAATGATACAAAAATAGTCTCAGTAAGACACACCTTACATAATTGCATATATGTTACTGCTTTTGTCTTACAATTTGTCCTATTGTGTTTCAAATGCCCAAGAGGTTTTGCCACCCCAACCCCCACCCCACCCTCACTGATGTTTCTTATTGTTATTTGAGAATGTCAGCTTTGCACCACTCGTATCTACATCACAACTAACTGTCAGATGTGATATTTTTAGGTTTGCTATATGTTTATACATGTGACTGGAACTATCGTCCTGACCACTGCATGTATGGGAACAATTGTGGGACAGCTAAAGACAATGGCATATCAGTAATCCATGGAAATAGAGGAGTCTTCCACAATGATAAACAAGTCTTCTTTAAAGCTATTTATAACGCCTTGAGAGATTTTAAACCTGGTGAAAACATCACGTTGCTGGCAACTCGTTTATCAGAAAACCTTAAATCTGTTGGGACTGATCCCTATTGTAATGCCATGGTTGACAGTGTGTTAAAATATCCCAAAAAATATTCTGTCTTATGAAAATT